ACAAACCTGAACTTCTGGTTGCCATCCTAGCTTCCCCAAAACCCTGCTAGGCGAACAAACTAAGATAATGAACATGGTCAGTGACGTGAAGCCAACATTTCACCGTGCAACTCACCAGGCCTTCAAAAAGGACGAAAACAGCTTCTCATCACCAGTGTTTGGTAAGCTGAGGAGTGAGCAGCAGGGACGATAAGAAGGATAAAAGGAAGGCAGTCAGGGAGTTTGGGGTAGTGGAAAGTAACCTGGCAGTGACATGGGCAAAAGCTGAAGAATGTAGTGTGCTTCTACACTGATTGGCGGGGAGGGGGAGGGGGAGGGGGATGCTCAACAGAGCATGAGGGAGAAATGAGGGAGGAGAAATTCTACAAAAGAGTGCAGGTTTGTTTGGTTCCAGTGTGAGATTTGGGGTTCTTTGATCACATGATTTTGAGGGCATTTGCCCATTACATGTAGCAAAATTAATTGACTTGCCTTTCTGAGAGATTGCACTACATGAGAAAAACACAGGTTCAAATTAGTAATTTTATCCCCAGTCAATCTTAAAGAAATCAACCCTGACTGCTCTTTAGAAGGTCAGGTACTAAAGCTGAAGTGCAAATCCTTTGGCTACCTAATGAGAAGGAACAACTCACTGGAGAAGACCCTGATGCTGGGAACAATTGAAGGCAAAAGGTGAAGGGGACGGCAGAGGATGAGGTGGCTGGATGGAGTCACTGGGGCAGTGGGTGTGGGCTTGGGTGGGCTCTAGGGGATGGTGGAGGACAGGAGAGCCTGGAGGAATGTTGTCCATGGGGTCGTGATAGGTCGGGCACAACTTTGTGACTAAACAACTGTGGGTCTCAAATCACACCCTTGTCCAATAGTCCAGTTCTTGAGCAAGTCGTTTCTCTTATAACCTCACTAGTTTGCCTTTCTATGAAATTTTGCGACTACTCCCACCCACCAGGACAACGTTTGTGTGATGATACCCATGACAAGGCTTCCAATCATGCCCAATGGCCCCAAAATGTGGTTTAAACCAAAGCTTTAAACCAAGCACAGCTCCTAGCTCAGACATGATGTCAAATTGCAGTTAGTTTGAATTCTTCCAGTCTTTTCTTCTGGTGTACATCAGAAGACCATACAGAAAGGGGAAAGGCCAAGGCATGATCAAGCTCACTCATGTCGCCTGAGAGCCAGTGTGGCATAGTGCACAGAGTTCTGGACTGGGACTCGGGAGATACCGGTTCTAGTCCCTACTCAGCCATGAAGCTCATGGAATTACTTTGAGCCAGTCACTCACTCTCAATGTATCCTATCTCACAAGGTTTCCATGAGGATAAAATGTAGAGGAGGAAAACCTTGTAAGCTACACAGGCTTCCTCGCAAGAGGAAGAAAGGTGGGGTATAACTGCAATGTAATACCAGGAATAATAAGCTTTGGTTTGGTGTTATGTTTTGATTGTGCCAATGTCTTGAAAGGGGGAAAAGGTAGTGCAAAGAAAGTCAATATGCCTACTGGAACTGATATTGCTCCAGTGCCACTGGTCCCCTTAATCTGATTGCTACTTAACAGCCTGTTCCACAAAGTCTATCTTCAATTCGATTTTGAATTTTCTTTCATTTCTTCAAAGGTGGAGAAACTATTACAAGAAACTTAGCTGGAAGGGTGAGTGGACGGCTGGAAGTGTGAAGAAATAGCAGTGGAGAAATAGGGGGTCCAAGGGTAACTGTTGGCGTAATCTTGCGCAAGTTTAGGGGCGAAAAGGTTTTATAACTTCCTTTCTCTTGCGCTATGCTCCTCCAAGGACTTTCTGCCTCTGCCACTCGTGGTATGGTGTGTGCTTAAGATGCATGATTTTCTGAGTGGGAACAATCCTGCTTAATCAACTTGTCCAGTACTCTTCATTATTTTTAGAAAGCAAAGGAAATTTGTCCTAGGCTAACTTCATCACTACTGACTAGAATGAGAGTGTTTTGTTTTGTATTTTTGGTTTAGTTCTTTACTTTATTACTGTTTAATTGCGCTTTGCAATTTATATATTGCTGTCAACTGCTCCAACAGCTTCAGCTACAAAAAGTATATACAATTTAAGAAACAGAAAGATTAGGGTTAGAGCCTACCACTAGCTACTCCTTTGGGTAGCACAGCAAATCTGTAACTGAACTGAACACTCCAAAGTTCCTTCTGTTCCAGTGCCCAGTACTTAGTCTTTCATTTTTATCCCTTGCTTCAGAGTACTTTTTTCAACCTTTTCCAAACTTGCCATCTGCTGTGCCTTCTACTTTCAAGAAGTCTCATAGGCCCTCCTCTTCTACCTTATTAGCCCGAAATAACTGTGGTGATCACATTTCATTTTCACCCTCCAGCTGGAATCCTGGGGTTCTCTTTGATCCCAATATATCTTTGGAGGGATCATCTTATATATACATATATGTTACCAATACATCCCTTTTACCATCTTAGAAATGTCTTGCCTTCAACATGTGCAATCCAAAATAGATCTAGACAGACTTGTGCATGTTTGTACAGCCTCCAGGAGCAGCTATTATCATTCTCAGTCCCTCAGTATCACAGAAATGTTGCTTCATTGACTGCAACTGGTTCAGATTCCGTAGCCCCCATTTTTAACTACGTTAGATCTTTACCTGCATCCTTTTATACCAACTTCCAGTCAGGTCAATGGTTGCATTCTATAAATAAAGCCCTAATTTGCATTCATCCACTCCTGTTTCAGTACTTGAAATATTCAATTTTCAAAGTCAGATGTTTCCAGAATTGACAGTATCCCAAAAGTACAAGATCAGTCATTCCAGTTCAATAGTAAGATACTCAATCCTAGTTCAATCTCCTGCATGCTAAAGCCTATGACTGCCTGACAATCTCAGGAACTGAAACAGTAACTAAATTATTCCTGATAACATCTTTATAATGTGGAACCCCAGATATCAGATATATTCCACCAGGGAACTTTGTAAAAATAAGATATTAATTCAGTATGTTTGATAGAGTGTCATGGGTTTCATTAAAGAGATTCTAAAAATATACTTTACTGGATAAGTGTTGGTATTAAAATTAATTTTCCCTTTGAAACAATGAGTGTATAAAAGGCATGCTTAACTGCAGTGAATTGTTAAAGCGAATCCAAAATTATATGTTTAAGAAGTCTTTTTTTAGTTTGAACATCAATTTTTATTCAGATGTGCACGATATTGTTTACAGTGGTTGTATCTACCCAGATAAATGGACCAGAAACCAAGGCATATTAAGACAGGCTACTGGTACTATCTTAAATCACCCAACTGATGAACATCTTTCTAAAATAGAAATTGTATTTTATTTCCTGTATCTTAAGGATTTTCAGAAAAGGTTCACCCCAAATATCTTCATGTATTCAAGAACAGCCCCCACACAACTGTGCAAATCTTTAAAATCACCCAGACTTGGGAAGGGGGATGCCTTGGTAATTCACAAATCCCCTGCAACATTTACTTCCGATAACTCCTCTGATCACATGACACCCTACAAATCCCTATATATGTCTGGTCCTGGATGCATAACAAAGCTCTCTGTGCCCCTCCTCAAACCGCTCTATGGTCATGTCCCTCTCTGAAAAGACGCTGACCTCTTTATATGTTTCACACTTTCTTCCAGAACACCAGCATGATGGCATCTCCCTTACTTCCTTCAAACCCCTCCTCAAAACCCACAAGTAAGACTTGTGCTGCTTTTGGCACAACTCTTAGTTCCCAATCCCAAATATAACTCAGCATGTAACTAAGTCTAAGCACATGCATCTGACTCAAACCTGTGTCTTTCCCTGTGTGTCCTCTGCCTTCCCTTCCCTCATGTTGAATTTTAGACTGTAACCTCCTTGGGGCAGGGATCTGTTTTCTTGCATTCTGTGAAGCACCCTATTCACCAATGGTTCTACATAAGTAATGATAAATTCAGTTCAGACTGAAAAATAGACAGTCTGCTAGATTCTTTGGTTACTATGACTAGTTTTGCCCAATTAATTATTATTCTGCTTTACTTAATATTTAAGGTCTCCTGTTTCTGTTTGTTTGTGGTTGTTTCTAAAGTAGGCCACCATGAGGGCCTCTACATTAATACAAGACAATGGGGTATAAATGTTAATAATCAACCAAATACATCCTTCTTTTATATTATTTTATTACTATTATTTCTACATTACATTTCTATACCATCCAGAGCTGAAGCTCTCAGGGCAGTTCACAACATTTAAGTCACCCATCCTGATTTCAACCAGGCCCAACTCTACTTAGCTTCCAAGATTAGGCAGGATCAGGCACTTCAGGCAATACGAAAGCTTTTACTTATTTATTAGATTTATATCCCACTTTTTTCCTTAAAAACTCATTACTGCATTCTCCTCTTGCTGCTCTCAGTCTTAACCCTGCAACAACATCCCTGTGGGCTGAGAGTCTGTGGCTGGCCCAAAGTCACCCAGTTGGCTACATGGCCGAGTGGGGACTAGAACCCAGGATGCCTGCGTCCCAGTCCTGTATTCTTAACCACCACACCACACTGGCTATTAGAAAGATAAATTTTAATAATTTTTATTTTATAAAATATTTATACTTTTATATATTTTTAAAAAGACCACCATAAATATGGAAAGTGTGTCTCTTTTGAAACTGTACTCATATTTATTTACAAATATTTGAATGCAGTAAGTTGGTGGTGAAAAACAAATGCAAAAATAAAAGAAATGCCAAGGACCTGATCTTGGCATGAGTGAATTAGCCAGAAGAAAAATCAAGTTCACCCATTTATTTGCAATATTAAAAGCCAATATAAAAATGTTTCCCACCATGAGTTCATATGGTTAACACCCCTCAGCATCACTTAATTTGTTGGGGAATTCTAGGGTAGCAATTATGTCAGTGTAAGCTTTGAATCACATTTAGGAGAAACAGGACTTAAAAGACTAAAAGTAACCACCTTCTGAAGTGATTCCATTTTAATATACAGACATTGTAACAGTGTTACTTACCAAGTTAGCCATGTAAATTGTAAGCAGCCCTCTCCTAAAGGCAGAAAACAACACACAAAACAATTATTAGGCCATACTGAGCTTTGACATATGACTTATCACATCAAACCCACTAGAATGAACAGGTTCACTCCATCTCTAGGACAGAATTCTGCTCAAGGGCTAGAGAGGGGGAAACAACAGCTCTAATTTAGAACTCATTCATACTGCTAATTTGCTTCGGTAAGGTTGGGTTGTCAAGAGTACAATATACCAGTCCTTCAGCACTGTAGCAGCTGCTTGTTAGAATGTTCGGCTGGAATTTTACAAACCACGAATTTATCACATTTGTGTCTTTATCCTTCTGTGGCGATATTCCTCACTGCAAGGCCCACAAGCCAGTGCCAGCCCCCAATCACACCCAGGGGCTACTTTGCTAGGCAGGTCAGTGGGTAGGTGTGGCTTCATGGTAGTCCCTAGCCCAGTGCACTTCCCCCTTTCCCTCTTCTCTCTCAGTCGCTCTCTGCCCTCACCATCAAGAGTTTTCCTCCCTCTGGCTGATTACAAGCAGTTGCATGTGCTTTCCATATGCATTTTGGGCTGGCTGTGACACCCACTTCACATGTAGAGGTTTGTGTTTATCCAAGGGAGACAAGGAAAATACAAGCAAGCAAAGGAAGCTGCAAGCTTGAGAAGATGTCAAGCAGAGAGAATAGAGAGGCAAGCTGTAAATGAGAAGGAAACGGGAAGAGAGGAAAGATCATGCAGCAGGAACATTCTATGGAAAAGGGGAGAGAAGGACTAGCGAAAGATTAGTGGATGCTGCACAAAATTCACATCTCGCGCTAGCCCAGCAGTCAAATGTCAGTGTTCCCATTAAAAAAAACAACTCTTTCGAGTTCCTTTGCTGCCATCTTTGCAGCAAATGTAGAAGTGCCTGCATACTAGTTCCTCGCCTTCCTCCCTCAGCCCCAATAGCATGCAGAGCAGAAGCAGCTGCCACCAGTAAGTAGGAATGCCGTCCAGATGTCCCACAACTGCTTCACTGAGCAAACCCAAAAATACGTGAATAGAAATCCAGTGGCAAGAGGACATGCTGTATACTGCATAAACAAAGCTAAGGAGTGCCGGGCATACTTCACACAAACAACTGAAGTAGGTTTTGCATTGAGCTGTGTTGCCCTTACACTGAAGCTTTTCACCCAAAGCATCCACTTGAAAATCTCCGGCTTCTACTTGAAAAACCATGAACATCACTGGCTCTAAGGAGTTCAGGACCAGCACACAGGGTGCAAGATCGTGACCAGAAAGAACCAGTATGACTACTGGAGCCAACACTGCCCAATCCTTGTCAGAAATTCCGATCACTACACCATACAGACTCTAAATCTTAGACCCTACATACCAAAGCCCCCCACCCACCGATCTCATGTCACTCTTTGATCTTCAACCAGCCAAGTGTGTTCTCTTGCTTATGTCAAGTTAGAGCAACTGTTTCACTTTCCTGGGACTGCCTAGAGATGCTGCAGTTTCCTTATGGAACACCTCCGCATGGCAGCAGTTAGCATATTTAACGATAACATGCAACATACGTAGCCATTTACATTTAGTGTTAGTCTTATCCTCCAGAAGAGTTACTTCATGTATGCAAGACATTGCTCAGCTATTTGCCTGAAGGAAGCAGAAATTTCTCTCCTAATGAATCGCCTGGCATTGGTCCATAGGCAGTAGACAAGAGGCCCTGCTGCTCTGCCTGGGCTGGAAGTGAATGCTGGGGTTAGCCAGGAAGAGGTCAGCCTGCGACGTGCAATGCTTCCTGAAGCATGAGATGATCTGCCAGCATCAGCATCAGCGACCGTGTCTACCTTCCTTGTGCCACCACTCCAAGACGTCAGGCTGAGTTTCATGACCACCATACTGTACCTATCAAAGGGTCTCAAGTATAACAAGCATTAATATACCTCAGTTAAAGAAAACAAGATGGATAAATGACTGGTTTTCTTGCTGCAGGAAATAATTCCTCAAATGCATTGGTTCAAGTATGTGATGGAGCTAATACAGCCATTATTTTCTTAACATAAACATGCCTGCATGGATTGCTGGCAGCAACTCTGCTTCAGAAGGCTGAATCTGATCTGCAAACACAGACTTTAAAAAGAAGTAAAACATACCACTTAACCTGCATAGCTAAATCAAATGCACAAACTGTAGATAGTTCAAAGCCATAATCGAATCAAGGAATCGCCCATTTATCTTGCACACAGCTGCCTAACTCTGAATACTGTGCAATCCCAGACCTAGAACCATGGTGGGGGTGGGAGGGAAGCCTGAAATAACAAAGCATTACAGCTGATGTTTAGGTTAGGCTTAATCATTCACACCCACCTATTTCCTACTTTCAACTGAAGTCTGACAGTGAGACACCAGTGCAAAAGTTCACTTAAAACCAACAAGAACAGCTAAGCTTTCAAAATAATAGAGAACACAAAACACAGACTTGAGCAGGGAAATTTCAGTATAAAAAGAACCCAAACACAAGTTGTTATGAAAGTGAGTGTCTTTCATGACAGATGGTTTACAGAAGCCCAGTCAGTAATTTCAGTCACTATTTCAGACATCCAATGTGTCCCTTAGTAAGTAGATGAAATACTACAGTGGGTACAGCAAAAGGGCTGTTTAACACTGAGAGTCACATTTTGTTCTAAAACCCATGCCCTCAGCCTGATCAGAATGCTTACTCATCAAAATATTCAAAAACCAGTCTAAACGATCAAGAAAGGAAAGAGGGAAATAGAATTGCTCTAATGCAGAAGGGTCTCCCGCACACCAGAGGCCATGCACAGCCTCGGGGCCATAGGGGACCCCACCACCGCCAGTATAGCCTCCACTGTCATGAAAAGTCAGGATTTTTAAAAAAAATATCTACACTCTGCCAATAAAAATCAGTAGCAAACCATTGGAAGCACTGTCAGTAACCCTATTTCAAAAGGAAAACTGAGCTTTGACAGCTTCCTGAACTTTTCCAGCTTCCTGAGGATTGGGAATGGGTGGGACAGTGCAAGGAGTACTCCAGTCAAACTCCTGGAGGATCCAGCTGCAAAAGGGTGTTCTACTAACCACCCCGTTTCCTGAGTAAAGATCACTCATGTCCTTGTTTTCCCTTGACAGCCTGCCTTTTGGCAGCTGTCAGGAGAGCACAAAGTAAAACACTGACCCATTGAGGTCTCCTCTGGGTCAGTGTTCATGGGTTGTGCTTCCTGCTCCTCTCTGGATATTGCCTAGGAAAGGCTTCCATTCGGAGCCCCACAAGAACACACCTCTCGATGTGTACATGTCTAACATTTTTAAAAAGGGGAAAGGAAAAATATGCAAATTTCTTGCCCTTAAGAAAAAATGAAAAAGAAAGGTAGCAAACAAATGACAGCCATCTGTCATGCCATCTGGACACTTTGGAGGAACTGTCACTGGCTGTCAACTTGGCAATCATGAAAGGTGATCCCCAAAAAATGGGGGGGGGGGGGGAAAACCACAGCAAGCGAAAAAGGGCTCATGGTCACAGCAGGGGACACTGAGCCAGTGATGGTCAGCCCACTGTGCCACCAGGGCATTGATGGGCGGCTGTCACTGCTGGTGGTCTGGATAAGCTTGACAAGAGAGGCAAGGACATTTTGCTAGACTTGTAAAGCAACTTGTCGCAGTCCACAGTGTGATCAGTTGCTTAGGTTTGGATAACACCATGAACTATCATGGCTTAAACAATCTCAATAACAACCCCATGGGTTGTCAGGATGGTTTGTTGCCCTCAAACAAGCCACTGTGGAGAAAGCACGGCACAATAATCTACCATGACCTGTTACCAACCATGGGTTGCTGCATCAGGTGAACTAATCTATGTATGGCCCAATGCTGAATGAACACTTGGACTCAATGTTTCATGAAGGACTTATTTTCCTTCATGAAAAGGAAAATAATTGCAAATGGTGATTTAAGAATGCATGTAAATCTGTAGAGAGAAAAGGAGGTTGCAATGCATGGGATGGAACTCTTTATCTGAAATGGCAGATATTCTCCATTAAAAACAGTAAAAGAGCCATTAAGTAAAGTAACAGCATTATCTATTTATTATATTTCTGTTCCCCGTTTTTCCTGCAAGGAATCCAAGTCCTTATATCCAAGTCCAAGTCCAAGTCCTTACATAATTTTTATCCTTACTGCAACTGATGTTCTCCAGGTATTTTGGACTACAGTTTCCAGCATACCTGGCCATTTCCCATCCTGCCTGGGCCTCATGGAGGTTAAAGTCCAAAACATTTGGAAAATACCAGCTTGGGGAAAACTGATCTAAGCTTCAGATTCTACAGGTTAAACTTTGCTATACTATGCTGTAGCCACTCAAAACTGGCTGGATCTTTTCAAAGGTAAGTGCAGAGTCATTAAAGAGGTAGAAACAACATCCAAAGCCCATCTCCACCAAGAAGCTGGCTTCTATTGGTCTCAATTTCATATAAAAGGGTGAAGTCTTATCTCCATATTTTGTCTTCCTGGAAACAAAATATGTTTCCAAATATTAAATGATATAATATTATGTTTCAAAATATGTTTCTAAATAATAGTCTAAATCAAGAGCTCACATATTATCTTGAACTATCTACTCTAAAAATAACTCTGCTTATCTACTAGGGCAGTAAAGTGTATTATCTAGGTTTGAATTAAGTAACCGCAACTATGCATGTGAGATTTGGTGCCTTTTTGTCCTTCTTCTGTTCTTCCTATCCCTTACTAAAAAGCTTATTTTTATAGGAGCTCATATGGCTACATTATTTTAAAACAGAATTTCATTAAAACTTTGCCCATACGCAAAACTTGGACCCAGTTCACATATAATGGCAGCAATTCCCGGCCTGTTTAACCCAGGAATTGCCATGGCCAAGCAAACCAACAAGCCACATGCTGATCACTTCCATTTTCAGTGAACACTTTCCCATTCCTGGGTCCTTCTATGAAATGCAAACCCAGAAACTCATTTAACCCAGAGTTAACTCAGTTTTTCAGATT